TCAAGCATGACCGAGTTTGATTTCGTGATTTTCCGATGATTTTCTTCCACTTTTCACTCGGTATCACCCCGTGCATAAGTGCGGAGCTATACACAAGCACTAATCTGTCACTACTGTATCTCACGCGGCACAAACCAAGCAAAATGCTACACTCTGCGGCTGAATTTGTCGCTGTCACGAGGCTGAATGTGGACCATGTACATAGAACCAACCAATGTGTGTGTGTCTGTTTGTGGGTTGACTGACTGATCTAAACATTTACCTGGTCTGCTACAGTTCCCCCCATTCTTCGATTGCACACTTTGCACACCGAACAAATGTAACTGATGTGAGCTTTTTTCTGATTCGTCAAGTTACGTCAAGTTACAATTATAAGCTCAGGTTTTATAAAACTCATGAATGTTTAATATTATCATAGGATAATAACTATTATTATTATTATTACCATATGCACTGAATAATCACTAAAATGAACATTAAACTCTGAAGGTGGGAATAGACTTTATTGTACAAGAAGTTCGTCCGCCTCAACTTTAGAAGTTCCTTTATATTTGCGACAGTCTAACCCCTCATCGGAAAAGAGCAATCGTGAACCAGTTGCAGATGGAACAACGGATGGAAGACGGGGGGGATGGGAAACAATTGAGGAAGGTGGGTTGGTTGGGAGAAAACGTAATCATTGCAAACGTTTCTTAACCCACGACTGGACGGTGTCTTCTGCCTCGAATTTGAACACCACCACTGTGTGGATCTAGTCTGGTTGAAAGACAGTTAATGACAGTCAGTTCGAAGAGAGCGGTTCACAGTTGAGTCACTAGTTTTATTCGTTTACGTAAATCAGTCGAAAAAATTGCGTTAGCAACTACAACGACGATGTATGGGGGGAGCGGGGAACGATGTGTTCGTGAATCCAGGGGAGATGGAGGGATTGGAATGAAATGAACGCCTCTGGGCACATAGCTCGGGGATCAAGTGTTTAATACATATGACTACGGCGATGGCCAAAGTACACATTCTGACATGTTGGTACCGGATCCGCCAGGTAAGATAACAAAATTTATCTACTTCCTTTATTACTTACCCAGTTAGGACGAGGTTGGGAGCTGGACCAACTCAATTTTGAAGTAACATCTTACACTTTGAAGGTGCAAAACGCATAACCGATACAGATAAACTAACACTCAAACCATTTAAAAAAGCCAGTAACTTATATGGATCTTCACTCAGCAGTACAATCTAGGCTGCATACTCAAGACCAGGTAGTCTGCTATCTGAGATCAAATCGATACCACTGTCTTAGCACGACGATAAGGCTGTTTCCATAATCAAATCTATAACAAAGTTAAATCGAAAAAGGGAGAGACGGCAATCCGAGTACCGCCTTCTGTGGTGAACTCGGGTGAAAATGTGCCGTAGGCTCTGGTTCTACTTCGGTCATCAGTATAAAAGAATTGTATCATTGAGTTGTATAGCCAACAAGTCATGCTTTCGTAATGTGGATATTCGAAGCTTTCCAACACCTGTTTAAACTGACACTTATTGACTGAGCAGCCTTCCATTTGCCGGAATCCGTAATAAGAACAAATTTTGTTGTGCACCTTTTATTTTATATATTAGATAACTAGAAGATCGTGATCATTGCCACTATCATTTTTGTAGGAGTGGAACACGTGATTAGCTCAATAGATCAGAGCCCGTCCGTATATGGTAATCGAAATTCGACACACACACACACACACACACACACACATCGCAATTCATTCATACAGTTGAAAACAAAAATCCTCACTTGTTGCGTGTACGTGTCCACATGGTATTGGGATTTAGTGAACTGTAAACCAAGTCAAATGCGGGAATATATGATCACACTTCTGTGTGTGTTTGTGTGTATTGCCTCAGTCACCCGTTCGTGATTCCAGTTGTGCGAATCTAAAGATCACTTAAATCCTACTGCGCCTCACTCCTGCATCGAGTCCCCCCCACCGGAGACCCAGGCTACATCGTCAAATGAATCTATCAACATATGTTCTCGTCCAGTCGTCCAACCCATATTTGTGCACGGTTTCCCCATAGTTGGCCGTGACCTCGATCCCTTAGGTTGAATAAATGGTTCAACTGATTCATCCACTCCGACGATCGTGGTCGCTTACCGCGCCCCAGAGGTATATAATTAGTTCTTTGTATGGTTCAATGAAGTGCGATGGATTGATTGCTCTCCACTCTCGTGGATAGCCCGTGACAAAAAACAAATTGTACCCTCCGAGAATGTGTTGGATTACGTTCCGCACCGCTGTACTATTCCTCATAGTTTGAACAAAAAGCTGACAAAAGGAACGAGCAGGAAATCACATCAAATCATCTTTTATTTTTACCGAAAATATACCGAACAAAAAAGCATAGTAATTCCACTACGACAAAAGTGTCTCCATGCCCGAAATTTGGTTTGAGAACTTGCGAAAGATGACTGGTATTCCTGCTAAATCGACAGACTGGTATAGGCTACAGTCACACGATACTCGGATGACGCTGGTCGTTGGTTCGGGTCACATGCAAAGACCTTGAAGTGGGTACAGATATTTCCACAGTCGTTCAGAGTAAGTCAGCACTAACTTTAACGCTATGGAGCTGGTTCGTGGGTATCGGGAGTCCCTCAAATTGATGCTTTTTATGAGATAAACTAAGTTTCATCTAGCTTGGTGACGAAAAGAACTTCCAATCAGATCAGCTCATTACACTACTGTTAACATGATATGTGGAAAGAAGAACAGTACATCACTCGGTGGATAAATTACAGAAATTATGTGCAAATATAGATCCATCCCTTCCCGAGCAACGGTACAACTGAACTCGTCACACAACGTGGGGCATCCAGGTTATATGCGGCAACTTTTTATTGACAATGATCACCAGAATGCTACTATCAGCATGACAATGTCACCATTCATAACCAACAGTTGGCGACCGGTTGTTTCATAACATAAGCAGAAATGCTGTAATCTACATAGAGTTCGACGTAGAATGCGGCAGAGGAAATCGGGGCCACTCCTATTAGAAAGATACATCGGAACGCAGGGATTTACTTTAAAACAGTAGTCCACAGGGATTGCACCAACTATTCTCCAGAATATGCTCAGATGTGTGGTTATTTACAGGGCGAAATGGAGAATGAGTAGTAGACTGGTTCAACTATGCAGAGCTATGGTAGTGAAACAATTTTTCCGTGGAGATATTGCAGATTTTTCTATCTATACGTTTTCGTTTAAAAAAATTGAACACAATTTCGTGTTTCGATTGTTCGTTGGTTACGTAATCAGATTCTCATAATTGCTAACGCTAGTACATGTGGAAGTGGAAGCCATCAGATAGTTTATATTAGTGTTGCGTCACTTTCGAGTTCACTCGGTCCCTGGTTAATACTCTCTGATTATCAATTGCATCACCAAACTAACCGCGTTTAAAACATGACAGGTATACCTAATGAGTCGTAACAAATGTAAACCGTCAAGCTCTCGGTACAAATAAACGTCTGGACACAGTTTCCAATTTGTCACTTTTACCAATCACAAACAACCGGTGGATTCGGTTACCCGGGGGAACCGCTCACTAATCGTGACAAATGACGAAAATGGAATAACATTCCGAAGAATAAATGAAACAATTGTAAGTTTGTATTCGGAACTCCCAGAGTACCTTGTTTCTATTCAGTAGAACGCGAGCAAAGGAAGGGATTGGAGAGTTTCCTGGTAAATTTAATATAGCGTGAAGTACGTGCACACAAGAGCGTATACTTAAACGGGATCCACAATCAGAAGGTTTGATTGGCACGTTTCAGTTTCAGTTTATCTTGCCGTGAACCAAGCACTCCTAGTGCGGCGACACTAACTGCTCGATTTCGGTGGGCGGTTTTGGCGATAGAGTGTAGGGAAGATTTCAATGTTGGAAGCAGTGTCAATGTGAAAAATGGACAAATTCCGAGAGACTAAAGTCGCAAAGACATTGAACAGATGCTCGAGTGCCCCTGTTGACCACACTCAATCACATCGATCAGTGTATCGAACACCCCGGTTGCCAGGAGGCCCAACGCGACCTATATAGTCACAAGCGAAGTCACTAATTGTTTTATTCATCCTAAAGAATGGAGTCTCGGTTCCACTACCGAGTCCCCCTGTTAAGGTTTGCAAATCTTCATGGCAGATTTTGGTTTCACCAACCTTGATATTTGCCCGTCCACTAATTTCCACGGAAAAAAAATCGCACTCCGTAGCAATCTATTTGGTGGCATGCGTAATATGATCCAGAACTAGCTTAATTTTCATAGGTCCACCACTT